AAAAGCCTGCTAATGCAACTTGGTTATGACATTTGCGACATATTCAGTTGCTTTTTTAAGATAAGAATCATGTATTCGGTTTTCTATTTGATCTTTTCTCTGCTTTCCAAATTGTTCAATATCTTGCAACACATCTACAACCTCTTTCACTTGGCTGCATCTTTTATTACCTACGATATATCCATTTGCTGACAAAGCTTATATATCCAGCTCATCATGTCACGGAGGCGTATACCTTGCTTGGATTCATATTTAGACAAGGTCTGTGTTTCTTGACAAGTTTATACATCTGCTTAAATTTCTAGATGTCAGTTACATTATTCTCGATGGTGTTAGTTGATGGCCCCCTACGGTTTACATGGTCTATGATCGAGAACCTCCTCTATGTGTGAGCTTTCTATAGTTACTAAAATAACTGCGGAACTGATTTGCTGAATTGGAAATTGAAATGAGAGAATTTTGAACTTCAATGTTTAAATGTTATATTTCTTTCAAATCCAAAGTTGCGTGATAACTGTATTGCTTGCTTATGAACTGCATAACCTGGTTGTTGGATTATCCTAAGCAGGTTAATATTGCTCTTTGGCCTCGTTTTAAGATGGTATTTGACATGCACCTCAGCAGTCTGAGGAATGCGAATGTAAAGACGTTGTGGGAAGATGATGTGCATCCTCACTATGTCATGAGGCGATACGTTGAGTTTACAGCTTCACTTATCCATCTGAATGTCGAATATGGAGATGGACAGGTCAGTCAGAGGCACAATATTGGGATACCTTTACTTTTTTTTATCAAGTCTTCACTGTCTAACTAGGTTGATACTTATTGTGTATATGCAATGTCATGTTTGCAGCTTGATTTAAACTTGGAGCGGCTAAGAATGGCAATTGATGACTTGCTTATCAAGCTTGCCAAAGCCTTTACAAAAGCTAAATCGCAGACAGTGTTTCTTATAAACAATTATGACATGACAATTTCCGTCTTGAAGGTAGGGTTTGGCTCTCAAGGTCTCTCTTCTAATGAAATCTATGAAGTAAAAAGACAGTAGGTAATGTCAATCCTTTAATTTCACAAAAGCTAGAAAGACAATCCCAAGAGGGTAAGCTATCCTCATCATGGCTTGAAGTCTTTTTTCTATTAAATCTGCAGTTGCGCTCCATTTCCTTTTAAAAAAGAAGAATGGTGCTTCCAAGAGTTCATTTGAAAGAAATGGTCTTCACATAAATTTAAAGCCCTCATTAAGAAAATAGGGAACTTCTTGGACAAGATTATTTGTTCAAATTTTGCTTTTGGCGGGACAGCACGTGAGTTTGTTTATGGCTCTACAGAATCTCCTTCAATTCGAAATTTTATTGGTGTTACTTTGATTTCAGGAAGCTGGTCCGGAGGGTGGGAAAATTCTGGTGCACTTCGAGGATCTGCTGAAGAGCAACACAGCCTTGTTTGTGGCAAGTAACTTGCTGATTATATCCTAGAATGGTTCTAAAATATAGATCGCATTATTGATATTGATATTTGATTGCAGCTGCAGTTTATAGCTAAAATGGCTTAACCTCCATTCTGTCGTGTTCTTAATGCTTTACTTTTTAATTGAATGAAAAAGATTGGTGATTTGTGAGATGCGGTCCAGCTACCACTCAAGTGTCTGGACCCATCAAAAGATATCAACTGTACCTATTTGATCTGCACATGCCTTATGCTTCACGTTTTTTTTTTTTTTTTTTTCCATAAAAATATGATGTCCTAGAATGGCTTGTCATTCTTTTCGAGTCATTTAAAGATATAATACCTTCATGCAGGAAGAACTCTTAGCAGAGCATTTCAGTTCACTTATCAAGTTCGTTAAAACCCGTGGCTGTAAGTACTTGAACAAAGTTTATTGACTTTAGGTCACTCCATCGGTTAAGTAACGAACTTATCAGAAATTCTCCTTTTCAGCGGAGGACCTAAGTTCTAATTCCGACCGACCAATTACTGTGGCTGAAGTAGAGCCCCTTGTAAAGGACTTTGCGAGCAGATGGAAAGCTGCAATTGAACTGATGCACAAAGATGTCATCACTTCTTTCAGTAATTTCTTGTGTGGAATGGAAATCCTAAGGGCGGCTTTGACTCAACTCCTCCTTTATTACACAAGACTCACGGATTGTATAAAGAGGATCGTTGGTGGCTCCGCTCTAAACAAGGATCTAGTGTCCATTTCTTCAATTATGTATGAAATTAGGAAATATTCAAGAACTTTTTAAAGTTGAGGGAATCAGAACTAAGTGCCAGAAATGAAGATAGCATAATGTGTAAGCAAAAGCAGAAGCCAAAATCAGTACCTTCTTTTCTGAGCTTTCTATTTGTGCATCACATTTCCATTCACAAAATGTTTTAAGTGTTAGTGTTCTTATTGCAGGTGTCAATGCAGCCATGTTCGTGTTCGTATTCGTGTTCGTGTTCGTGTTCGTGTTCATGTTCATGTTCAGCAATGCACAACTACTTTCCTTTTCGGTTCTTCGGAAAATCTCTGGTCGATGCTCGAGGTTGTGTTGTGCCTTTACTCATCTATCACATTTCAGTGCCAAGGCATTACCATTAGTTAATTTGCTGTGTACAACTTACCATGGAACCTAATACACAACCCTTTCCCATAAATCATCACCCCCACCAGAAAATCGTAGCTGGTGTATCACATTTTGTTGTAAGATTGTGTTCCAAATTAGAGGGAAAATAGAAACAATGGCTTTATATTGGGACCTAATTTCTTCTTCAAAGCAAAGCGAGGTTTTGCCTTGAACTTGGAACGGACAGTCAGTTGGTGTGGACAGGTTAACATTTTATGGTTTTATCTGAGGTGTTACTGTATAATCACACACTTCTGTTTCTCAATAGCACGACATTTCGAGCATTGCTTACTGATTATCATATAATCTTCTTCGGTATACTGCCCCTTTTCTTTTCAAGGGGAATCTGTTTTAAAACCACATGTTTTCGATAATCCTAGTTTTATCAGATCTTATTGTTCTGGAAATAACAGTGGCAATGGGTCTAGCTAAAGATGAGATGGGAAGTGTGATCGATCGGTTGAAGCTGAGAAATTGAACCAGGTCTTGATGGGACTGTGTCATGGAAGGAGCAGGGTGTTATTTATAGATGCAGCATTCTAATCTACATTTGAGCTCTCATGATACCATCAGCAATGAAGCTCTTTCAAGAGATGAAAGATAGGAATTATTACTCTTAGCTCCTTATGCACCAATAATTGCAATGAAAAAAGCATAAATGATTTATAAACCCAGGATGACTCCTTGGAAAATGCTTCAAATAACAAATCAAGGCAAACCACACTCTGTCGCCACCCACTTCAATTGGAGATATATGTTTTATTTTACTCTTATTGCTTGCTATCATCAATAAATTGTCAGAATATAAAATATAGATGAATATATATGTGTATAAATACTATGATGAACATGTAAGAAATCCATCTTGTGTAATCAAGTAGGCTTTTCCACCCACACTTCTCCTCACTGCCTGATAAAGCTCCACCCAGGAAGAGCTATTATAATGCAAATCCTGTGTTCCCCACAAGAACGTCGGATTGGGGCTTGCAGGGCACGCAGAAACCAAATCCAAGACGGAAGCAGCCGGTTTGAGTGGCTGGGGGAAATTAAATGCTAAATTGTCCACTTTGTGCTCGTAAATTTTGCCATTTCGATCCACCTTATACCGGGAAGTGCCCTGAAACTCACCCCTGCCCTCCCATGGAACCCTAGGAACGCCCTTCAAGTTCCACCGGATGAGTATCACGTTTTCAGAAGGCTGCCAAATCCTGTACACCTCAATCCCAATCTCCCGGAACAGGATTTTGCCATGAAACCTCAACGCCCAAAATATCAATTTGTACCTCTCAATCCCACTGAACGTGTTCAGAGGATCAGAGAAGGTTATATCGTCCCTGGAAAACCCCAAAAACAATGTAAGACGGCCAAAAAAACAAGGAAATTAGGCCCAGAATCGGAAAAAGAGAGAGAGAAGTACCTGTAGATGTCGTAATTGAGGTCTCTGGCGAAGATTAGAGGAAGGTCCTCGCGAAGAGTCCTGACAGCAAGGCCGAGATTGACATAGAAGTGGTCTCTTGGGTCATCGGAGCGGGAACCGGGGGAAGCAGAAGGAGAGGCGAGAGGAGAGCCCTGGAGCTGAGGCTGAGGGGTGTGGACGCCGGCGAGGGAGACGGAAGAAGAAGAAGAAGAAGAAGAAAAAGCTCTAGGACTGTCTCTGGACTTGGAAGGATGAAGGGAGGGAGAAGGGAAGAGATGAGGAAGAAGAAGAGCCATGGGAGTTAGTACTGTTACTTAGAAGCCTCACAACACTTGCTTTCGTAACCCATGGAGAGAGGATTTGATTGGAATCAATGCCACCTGTGTGTGTGCGCGCGTGTGTGTGGCTTTAAGCGTGCCCATCTCGCGCCACTCTGCTCCTCAAAACATATTTTGCATTGCCCAAATACACCCTTTTACATATATATTTCAAAATTATTCATTTCAAATATACAATTTTTTTATTCTTCTCGTGAAGAACTTCTCGATTTTTTATTTTATTATGTTAATTCAAGCATGATTAAGTAGATAAACTATCCATAAACGTTCTCCATTCTCGTCTCCTCCAATCGTTTACCTAAAAAAAATATAATATAAATATAAGACCAAATGATAATTCGAGCATTGTTTAGTAATTTAGAAATATGTTCGACTTTTAAGTAAGTGAGTAGAAATAGATGAAGTTCATTTTAATGCAAAAAGGGCTGCCCACCAGCCCTTCAATGCTTTTGCTTAAACTAGAGGAGTGACAACTCACAAACCAGATTGCTTCATATGGCTGTAATTACTTCCATTTGTGAGTTTGAACCAATTTATAAACAATCTCAAACCCCCAACTTAATCAAACCATTTTATTAACTAATTCCCATCTCTTCTTTTCCCAAGTTTCAATTTTTGTGATCAAATCCACCCACCGCCATGGAAGCTCCAGAAGACTTCAGCTTCCAACCCATCAATGGCTCCACCCCCATTGCTGGATCACCTCCCCTATGGGGCCTGCCACAAAAACCAATGGACCTCCACGAGAAAGAAGATGGTGGCTGTAGAAATGTTGGCTCTTCGGAAAAAAGAAGGAATGATAGCGATGAGGAAGAAGATGAGAAGATGGATGTGCTGTGGGAAGACTTCAATGAAGAATTGCTGAAGAATTTGAGTTCCAGATATGGGTCTGGGAGGTTGCCGGAACTGGAATACTCGGAGTCGAAGGAAGCAAAGAAAGACGGCGGAGGGCGCGGCGGCAGTAGTGGGGCACTGCTGTCGGCGAGGATGGCGGGTGTGGTAGTGATGATGAAGGTGCTGAAGAAGATTCTGTTTCTGCATAGCTTTCGCAGGAAGCTCAAAGCTCGGACGTCGTGATTATTGGTGTTTGGAGTTTGGAAAGGAGTGGGTTCTGGGATTTTCTTTTTCCCAATTTTCGGATATATAATATAATTTAGCATCTTAAAATCGAGACTTGTATGGCGTAAGAAACAAGGGGGTACATGGTCCAGGTTGGTTGGTTGGTTGGTTGGAGACCAGAGAAAAGGCAGTCTTCGTTGGAGGAAGAGGACAGGAGAAGATGCGGTGAATAAACAAGTGAGAGGAAAGAAGAAAGGGAAACAAAGAGCAATGAAGAGCAATTACTTACTCCAATAAAATTCAAGCTTACGGGGCCTCCTCATCCCTTGGCTTTTGCATGTTCATCGCTTTTTGTCCCCTTTTTCCCCCTTCTGAACTACCAGAAAGCTTGTTGAATTCCATGGCTACATCAATCAAAATGGCATTGGGTAAGTTTTCTTTGCTAATCCTAGTTAGTTAGCGCAAATGGTAAGTACTACCTACTGGGGGTATCAGTGGATTATGAGCTCTCCACAATTTTTATACTGTATCCTCCTTGACGACGTCTACGTAAATACATATTCGGTTCTCGACACCAACGATCATACTACAAATACGTAAATCTCTTGGATTGCACTGTTGCAGTATTCAGAAATCTATAATCTCTGGAAGGAAAGCACATAGACTAAATGCCGGGTGGGTTTCTGTTCTAAGGACCAAGCAGGGCTGAAATTGAGCTTTGGGGAATGAAAATAATAATCGGCTTCATGCTGATGAGGATGAGCTAGTTCAAACATAACATATCAAAGACCAAAAGAAAGTGCTATTTTACATTACTAATTTATTGTTAGGTTTATAATTTCTGCTCTGTCCAGTCTAAATACAAGTGAAGGAGAGAGATTTTTGCATGCTTACTGACCTTGAGGCTAATATCAGTTCCCACACATAAGCTTGTTTCTAGCTTTGGCAAGAAGATTGAAGACATCAGGGGCATCACGACATCTGTTATGTTTAAAGCTCAGCTTGTCGTTCGCTGTACTGCTGATGTAGTTTGAGAAGAGTGTTGATTTGTTGAAGAACTCTATGGCCCTGAAGGAGGGTTAGGAGATGTTCAACTCTGCAGGTAATGAACTATTCACACAGACATTATAAAAAGGAAGGAAGGAATGAACCATTAGCGCAAATCTCTTTCGACATACCTCTTAGCAGCACGGGAAATCGAGACTTGTGGCCAATATACAGATAAGAGTTTCCTTAAATGTGTGAACTTATTTCCAGCCAATAATAGATACACAGAGACGTGTATCGTATAGTTAGTAATAATTCAAAAATACACTCGAAAACTTGCGCCCAAAATGAGTCAAATGGGATCTTGCAGTTAAGGGATACACCACAGAGAAATGAGATAGCGAGCAGTTTGGAATGAAACATTCTTCAAATGAACCTCATATTAATCGGGTTGTGAGCATATAGTATTACACAATTCATAATGTCACAGAAATGGTACAAATGAATTAAGAACTCTCTTACCTCCAAATGAAGCAACGAAGAGAGTAAAATTCACATTACTAAAACACTACTGCAGCTCCCTGGCCTCCTCCATGAAGATGTCAAGTAATAACTGCATCGTCAACTCTGTGTTTAACAATTTGCTGATATAAGATGTCCAAAAGTTCACAAATCTCAATAGCAAAATTTGGTTTAGGGAGTATATTGACTGGCAGCGTGTCCATCACATCACTGTTGGACCAGAGATATATGTATAAATTCACCAAGCACTCAAGAGGTATATTGCCAAGTGAATTATGTCAAACCGGCTACCATAAAAACATATAACACATTACTCCATTGCCTTTTTCCGAACAGTTCGCTTCTCGTCTGACCTGTGACGAAACAATTTTGCTATTTTTCTTCTCTCACAATCCTGCAAAAAAGGGTTGAAGAAAGTGTTAGTTTTAGGGTTCCAGATTTATTTTCTTCCCTCTTTAGTTTCCTTCTCTTATGGGTCACTAGAGCAATATTTGGACAAGCCACTTGAGGGGATATTCCGCAGATTACTCACCTTGAACATATTAAGATAAAAAGGTTTTCCAGGATTCATCCTTCTTAATTTCTGGTATGTGTATGAAAAACTAAGTTGATCTCGGGGAGTAAATCTGTCAACCTCATTGAACCATAGACAAGAGAACAGATTCGACATTGGAGTGTGGGCCCTAATGATGAAAGATCCTTCGGGCACATCTGCATTTGCCAACAGAAAAAAAAAAATCATGTCAATGACACGCCAGAGCAATAGGGATCTCAATAATAACGTACAAATTACTCCAAAAAAAAAAAAAACAAGAACAAGAAAAAGTTCTTGACTACATACTGCTGGGAAGAAGCTTGTTAATGTCCGATGCATTAAACCTCTTCAATCCATCAGCCTGGTAAAAGGCAAATTGTTGATCTATGATAGTATGGTTATACTTGTTTAATCTCTTATTCTGAGCCACCTCTTCCCATACACAATGTCTGTCGTAGTGATTTGAAATGGCAAATTCATAACCTTTTCGCCACAAGAAGTATTCCAAGATTAGCAGAGGGTCATATTGAAGCCGTAACTTACTATCCAACCAGATTGAGTACCTGAGAAAAGTTTGCAAAAAATTAGACACCAAGTGTTGAATTTTGTTCGCACAAAATAACCAATTATCTAAATTAGAATCAAGAATAACAAATCGAAAACTTTAGGCGAATACCTTCAAAATAGTTCGAGCAAAAAGAAAGGATGGGAGAGGAAAGGTTAATGCTACTGGCCAGAGATCTTCGTGAAAAATTTAAGCTACATGGAACTATGGCGGCATTCGGAAGGCAGAAATGCGAACCCAATTTTCCAAGTACCGTAATCCCACAAGAAATTCCTCAAATTGTTGTTGATTCTAACGTAAATAAGCTATGACCAGAATTTGGAATACATAACAGGAAAATATATTCTTTGCGTTCATGGATACACAAGCCTTTTCTTACGTAGTAGTTTCATTATCAAAAAAATCGTTTCTAACAAGAAATAAATAAAGAAATATACATTCTACTTCAAAAGAATAAAAACAAAACAAAAAGAGGAAGAAAGGAAGAAAGAACGAAGAACACTCTAAAGCTCACGGTAAGGAGAATAGGCAGCATGTTTAAATATTGTTGTATTCTCACCTTGCGGAAGGAAAAATTCGATGTGCCAATAATTTTGGTATTTTCCCAACTCTTCTCATATCAGTGTACGGTAAATTTTTTACCACAACAATCTTCCATACTCCAATAAAACCCATCCTATCCACTGTTTGACCTTCTGTTGAAAGAGTCTCCAAGGTAACTTCATCCATAAACATAACAAAGCAGACATTTTTTCTTGAAAAACGAGAAACCTGAAACAGAGGCAAACTGGACTTAACTACTGTCTACCATAACATATGATATGTTCATAAATAATATGAGATTGTTAGGAACATAAAGTCGTAAATCTTTGACTTACATGCATACACAAGCAAAATAGGGAAAGAAGTTCACGGGTAAAGAAGAAGAATATCAATGGAAGAAGCAGAATATAGGAGGCGTAAATAAAGAGAACATTGAGTAAAACTTCATTAAGCTGAAATCTCAAAAAGAACGAATACTCATCTCAAATACTATCTCAGAGAAATGGTCACAAATTTTGTTAAAAGCAGTTAAACAGCATGGCTTTCCAATTTTGTGATATGACCAATAACATATATAGCACGAGACCATTGTATACAATGCATAATAGTTTGATCATGGATAGGCAGAATTTCTGAAGACAGGAGAAAAAGTACATTGTAGAATCAGAACCTGTCATCTTTCATTTTACATTTTAACTCCTCTATCGGTTGATTAAGAATTAAACGTTGAATGCGAAGTGCTAACTAGAAAGAGAAAGAAATATTATACCGTTTTCCCAGTAGGTGATCTCAGGTGGTCCGAATTCCCAAAAATGCAGGAGATCACGGCAATGTGGCAGCTACTGATATAATTCGAATCATCTTCTGCCAGATCAAAACCTGTACTTGGAAAGATTTCCGGACCTTTCACAAAGCCACAATTTATCTTTTGATCCTGTGCATAAAATGATGTCTCTCGTTCTCGCAAAGTCTGATGCCCTGCAAATCTAGGCATCCATTTTTCTTGATTGCTTGGCTTTTCTTCTGTCTTGGTGTATTGCAAAGTGAATCTAACAAATTTTGTACTTTCCAAAGGTTCAAGAATTTGTGCAGTGGAGTTCGAGAACTTTATCTCACATGATGAACCTGCCAGTAGAGCTTCAAAATATCATTTTACAGAACATTTTATTTCGGATCCTATAACAAAAGTAGAAAAGTAAAATGTCATATTCCGGTCATCAATGCATAATACACAAAGCTTACGCATATCAAGATTACTTGTCTGATATGCATATGGAAGAGTTAATCAAACTCCAAATCTAGAAAGAAACTGTTTTATATATGATCCATTAAATCCTCTCATTTTTCACCTAGCAGTACCTGAAAATTTTCGATTCTTTGGCTTCTTTCTCGAATCCATTTTTGACCTCTTTGTATGCTGACCAATAGTGACACCAACATGTTTGGAGCTTCGATTAACCTTATCAGAATTTTGGGAACTCAACGTATAATCCTCATCAAATGAATGGTTGGTAGCCTCAACATTCTCATCATCTTGCTGATACTTGGTTTCTCCATCATGCACATTGAGGGATTTCCCATGGTCATCATTATGGGGTTTTCCATTTTCAACAACATTAAACGATTTCCTGGAATCTTCCTCTGTTAAACCTGCTGCATCAGAATGGTCCCCTTTCTCACGTTCTGTATCATCATCTTCTTCCATAGCAGGATTTTGATTATCACTTCCATGTCCATACTCATCTTCGGTATCGATAATGTCATTCCAGTTTTCCAAATCATCGTCATCAGATACCTGGTCGTCTTCATTTCCTTCTTTTTCCAATTGACCGGAGGTCTTTACTGAAGCCTCGTATTCAGCTTCAT